TAAATTTAACTCAACTTCAAAATTATTTTTAAGAATTGCTAAAAACTTTTTGAAATATCACTTTGCTTAAACTTTTTGCATACATTTCATTTAAGGCAGAGATAAAAAAAAAAGTTGAAAGATGAAACGAGTCGAGCAATAACCCAAAAAAGACATTTCGATTACAACATCAATATTTCACACTCGACTTGTTTTCAAACATTTCATTCCACTGGGGATTTTTAGAGGATTTCTGATATTTTCAAAGCTGAAAACTTTTTTTTTATTCTCATTTTTTAGACTACTATTTTCTGACAAAAAAATTCTCCAATCTTTCTTACTCAAATTTCTTCCACGTGAGTTGCTCACAATCAAAAAAAGAGTAAATAATATTGCATATTTGATGAAAATATTTTGCTGTTTTGTTTTGGTTGACACTTCAACGTCTGGGTACACAGATTTTCATTAAGCAAAATATAATGTAATTCATACCATTTTCTTATAAAAATATACAAAACATCAAAATCGACTTTAAAGAGAAATTAATGTAAAATACTGAAATTAATGTAAAATACTGAAATTAATGCAAAATACTGAAATTAATGTAAAATATTGTCCAAAAGAAAGCAATTTCAATTATATTCACCCTGTATACCTTTGATATCAGAGCCCTATTCCAAGGAAAGTCTACTTGTTTGAGTTCAAAATAGTATATCGTTATAGACATATAGTTCAATTTCTTGATTTTGCTTGTTTGTATACTCAAGACATTTATTAAGCTCCACTTTAATTCTTTAGAATCATTGCTGTGCCAGCCATAACAAATTTTATGAAAACATTGTATGAATAATAAACAGAATTGAAAGTTAAATCATATATGCCGCAAAAGAGGTGTTTTGTCATTTAAATTATTGCAGCGATTTTATTTTCCATGATTTTGTGACAGTTGAAATATCAAGAGTGAACTCTAAAAAGAAACGCTAACTTACATAAAGTGAAGTAAACTGAAGAGTTGAATGCTTGAAAAGGAAATATTTGTGTGGCAGATACGTTACTGAAAATGAAAGCTGTTGAAGAAGTACTAAAATACTTATTAAGAGTAAAAACGAATACTCGAAAACAAAAATATTTGTGTGAGGAGGGAAACAGTTTATGCTAATACTAATACTACTTATTGACTTAACAGCATCTTGAGTATTCGATAATCAGGATAGTCATCTGATTCAGATAGGTCTCCCTTTCTTAAACTCCTTTTAACCCCTTAACAATTCTATTATTTTTTAACACTTTCACGCCGGGGTAAACCACCGGTGGATCACGCTAGATTGTCTCATCGGGCAGCGCACCGGAGTAAAAACTGGTAACAAATAAATTTCATTTTTTAGTTTTTTTCCGGGAATAATAAAAATCCATATCTACCACTTGTTTTTAACGGATGCAATTTTTATATTGAATCGCTTCTTCGCTGTGATAAATTTCCTTACAGTGAATTGTTATTGTTGAGAATAGATTAACTCCTCCCGAATATTATCTAATATTGAAAAAGTTCTTCTACCAGTATTTTCTCTTTTCCGTCCCGCTTTAAGGCGCAACACCCGGAGTGAACGTGTCAAAGAATCTTCATGAAAGTGCCTGTTTTTGAATATAAAAAAATTATAAAAAAAGGTGTATGTACCAATTATGTTTTCACTTTTGATTTCCGGAATGTTTTTCAGTTTGAAATTAAAAAAATTTAATTTTTTAGGGGAAACCAACATTTAGATAGAACTTGTTTCAAGTAAATAAGTAAAATTTAAAAAAATGCGTCTTTCAAACAATAAAATAGAAACTTCTTAAACTTAAGCATAATATTAATAAATATTAGTATTTTCTTCTTTTAATGATAAATTTGTAAAATGCAAATAAATAAACAACTGTCTCCAGTTACATTAAAAATAGGCCGGTGCAGCCATCTAGTGGGTAAAGTAAAAAATAAAAAAATTCCAGGCACAAAAGAGATAGTTATATTTAAACTTTTTTGGTGTATTACTTGTGAACGCTCTAGCCCGGAAATATCAGGGACACGAGAAATAAGAGAAGACTACTCAAACCGTTATTTTGACAGGAGCGAGAGGAGAGTGATTAACTCTCAATACTGCAACATGCACACCCTGCATTTGCAATTTTTATTGTCATTTTCTAGAATCATCAGCTACTCATTAAATATTGTTTTTAGCTTCCTTGTCACTAAATTTAACAAACCTAAATTTGTTATTTTTAGTAACTTCAAATCGTTTGTTTTTGCTGATACAATTTCGGTCTATTTGCAGTCTACAAACGAATGGTGCAGACATATGTTAGATTTATTGCTAATCTCCGTCCCGCCCCCAAAGGGGGCATCCGGGTAAGACATATGTTAGATATATGGCACTGCTCTATTATATTTTAAGTTGAAAAATCTAATACAGATCAAAAAATTCTAGATTAAATTACGGTAAAAAGTACCGGCACTCAGGGTGCCAGTACTTTTCACCGTAAAATCCATTTTTACCGGAACATGTAACAAAGCAAAAAAAATTGATTTACCATAATCTTTGTCGTAATGTGTACTGTAAAATCACTGTAACTAAATAAATATTACAGTAAAAATCACAATATAAAATTTTACTGTAAAATGAATTTTGCCGATGATGCATTCAGGGTCTAAGACTTTTTACAGTAATTTGATCCGGAATTTCTTATAGTTCGATTGACCTGCTATGATTGAAACTCTCTCTCAGAGATTTTTCAAGATATAGCATCAGTCTAGCTGAAAAAATTCCAGCCGAAATTAACATCACTGCCAGCTGTGGTACTCCTCATTTCTACAAATAGAATTATCATTATTTTTTATGAATGAAACTAATAATAAAAAAATTTCATATTCAGTGGGAATAATATATAATTCATAGAAACAGTGATTTCATAACTTGTGATTTCCTAAAATGTGGTATCCTAATAGATTAACCGTTCAGCCCCTACCCAGTCAAAAATAAAAACAGTAAAACGTAATTTCAAACTCCCAGCATAGTATGTGCTTCTAGGGTGTGAAAAGACTACGAATGGTTTCAAAACAATAAATTTGTGGAAGGGGAATGAGACTCATTAGGTAGACTCGTTATTGGTCTTCTCACTTCAATATGAAAAAAAAATTACATTATAAGAATAAGATCTCTTATAAAATCGTTTTGTATAATTCTTTGCCAAGAGTAATAAAAAATAATGAGGCAAATAATTACTGTAAAGATAGTAAATATAATTTTTATTGTAGATTTTTACAAACATTGATATAAAAAAAAGAAATAAAATATAACATATTTGAAAGTTAAAGATTTTTGGAGTAAAAAGTGATAACCGTAATTTTCAAGGTTTGGGGACAAATTTTGTTGATTTAGTCATTGATACAGTAAATATGTAAAGGTTTCTAAGGAAGTTTAACTAGAATTCGTGTAGCTGTCTCACTCAGAATGCTTATGCTACTGAAAGAGAATAAAATCTCTTTTTGGATGTAATTATTTACAGTTAAGGAATTTTTTTCAAATCTGGGGGTTTTCAGTTTTTACGCAATATTTCTTCATTTCTTAAATTCATATACAAACTGAAAAATTGAACTACTAAGATAGTTAAATCTTCTAACTTTTCCTACTTTAAGACTTAGTTTTTTCCTAATTTTTCAAAGTCATGGTAAAATTTATGTTGCAGTATTTGGTTTAAAATGCTTCACCATAATAACTAGTAACTCAAAGAACAATATAAGAACTGAAAATAATTTGGTAGTACTTTTTCCTTGCTGTGAAAATTTTATAACATTTGGTAACTGAATTTATATTTTTATTTCACTTGAAATTTACCCCTAAGATGGAACATCTGAAATGACTGCTCGGCAGGAGAGGTAGAAATCAAACAGTTATTTAAAAATAGAGTTATACGATCGTTATGAGCCTACCAATTTAAAAATTGTAGCAATAATAGCAACTATATCGCTTTAGAGGAAAGCAATTGGGAAATATCTATGTGTAATTAACACTTAAAAGATTAAACATTGCTGTTTATTTTGAAATACTGAATTGGATAGTTAGGCTCTTTTGAGATTGTTTGTTTGTAAGTCAATTATCATCCAAAATCTGAGGATATATTCATAATTAATTGAATAAAAGCATATTATAGATTTTATCATTTATTTAAATGGAGCATTCTCTTTTTAATTATACATATACATAAGTTTCTTAGATAATTTAGTCTCCTATTCTTTTAAAATAATAATTGATGAGTAGAAATACTCTTGTTTTTTTTTGTTTTTTTTTTGATTTTTAATAATTTTATTTTCGTTTTTTTCGGATATCCAAAATTACCCGGGGTTACTCGATACCTACCAAAATACCAAAGGGGCTACTCTAGCCCCTTCCGTCATTCTAGGTATAATGTTTTAGGCTAGGTATAATTATTATAGTATATATATAATTATATTATATATTATATCACATATATATTTATACTATATATTATACCACATATATAATTATACTATATATATATTTATTACTAGGTATATTAGGTTATGTTAGGTATAATGTTTCTATAAGGGTAACTATGCATAAACTTGAATGATTAAATATTCATTTAAATTTGACCGAGTGAGGAAAAGACTGCAATACTCAACACTTGCAACGAATTATTTTTCGAATTATGGACAACGAGAGAGACAACAAAAACCAGAGAGACTAGATTGGCCCTATTCACCCTTATATTATATTCGTCTTTATATTCGTCTTTTGGCCCTATTCGTCTCTTCTATTTTCGTGCAAAAGAAATTAACAACTTTAATTCTGAATGCAAACAAACTAGTCTTACATTTTTTCGTTTTTAAAAAACTTAATAACATTGTTGACATTTATCAAAAAAACAGTTTATGGAATTGTTAATGTTATCCATTCATTATCAAAAATAATTAGCAAGTTATCATTTAAAAAGCAGTGAATTGTCAAAAATATGTGAATATTTACCTTAATGGAAAAGAATGAGGAAGCGGAAAAAAAATGCGAATCTATGCTGGTACTAAAATATCAACTGCTGAAGAAGAAATTTTGCATTCTTTAAAACTTCAGCACTCCATCCTCATCGTTTGCAATATCATCAGCAGCTGCAACTGACCGCCTCTACAGATATGTTGGGAAATATGTTACAGTGTTCTTAATATTTCTCTGGGTCAGCAGGTGGTGAAAAAGTATATTCATAAAACAATGCTTCAGCATGCATCCTTTTGTTTCTGGGAACACTAAAAATTGTGAATAGCCCGATATATCATTGTTATGATGAACGTCACACGCGAGAAATGATATCAAAGAATTTGCTTTGATAGTTTTACGGCATGTTTGAATACATAACCATCGTAAAAGATAATCTGAAGAGTTGAAAAGATTTTTTAAGTTTTATCATTATCATACCAAACAGTAATTTTTGCTTGATAGATATGCTTAGGCCTAAGGTTTTTGTACTTTGACAAATTGAATTTACGGAATGTGAATTCAGCGATGTTTTTCATTTTGTTACTCCCAAAACGGAGAAAATTTTTTTAGTAAAATCGAAGTAATGAAACCAAAGTAAACGTTATTTAAAACCATTCATTTCGTAGTTTTTCCTTTCATATGATAATGACTTGCCGGAAATTCTGGTTTTGAAAATTATAGTTCGTATTACCAGTTATGAATTCTTTTACTAAATCACTACACTAAAATAGAAATTTTGTGAAAAATAAAAAAACTAAAAAGGAGTTTTTTATAACGTTTTCTAAAGTATCCCGACAATTTTAACAAAGTTACTAAATTTGATCACAAGATTAAAAAAAAGCACTTCGGTGAAAATTTCTGTGATTTTTGTTATTCCCATAGAACCAAAAATACTATAAATTAGTGCGGCTAATATAAATATTTTACTTTAATGTTGTTTTGAAGTGTTTTTCTATGGTTACTCAAAATATAGATAAATAGAAAACAGTAATGAAACCAAAGTAAACGTTATTTTAAACCATTTATTTGGTAATTTTTCCTCTCAGGTGATAATGCTTTACCAGAAATTCTGGTTTTCAAAATTATAGTTCTTATAATCAGTTTTGTAATATTTTACTAAATCACTATACTAAAATTTTGTAAAAAATAAAAAAAAAAAACTTTCAAAAATTTAACCGAAAAAAAGTTTTTAATAACGTTCTCCAAAGTATCACGACAATTTTACCAAATTTACTAAATTTGATCACAAATTTAAGAAAAAAACACTTCCGTGAAAATTTCCGTGATTTTCGTTATTCCCATAGAGCTAGAAATACTATAAATTACTGCCGCTAATTTAATTATCTTATTTTCATGTTGTTTCGAAGTGTTTTTCCATCATTACTCAAAATATAGATAAGTAGAAAACAAAACAAAAAAAAGCGATAAATTTTATAACCTTTGATTTGATGATCGTATTTTCAGTTCTGAGTATACGTCTGAATTCTGACTACTTCTTTGAACTTAATGTGCGATTTAATCTGTACAGAAAATATTTCAAGCTACGAAATCAGACTATAATACGCACTTTTTTTAGAATAAACTATCTCTCAATATCAAACAACAAATATTCACTTATTTTTATGCTGAATCTCCTTGCAGCAAATTTGTGAACCTAACTCTCAAAAAAAGGGACTAGCCGCAAACTGGATAGTTTGGTTCCAAAATTTAAGCGAAAAAAAGCTTGGATCCATAAACATTATATTGACTTTTTGCGTTCCTTGCAATATCAAAGAAGGCGCATTGTAAATATTTCATTTCTTAAGAACTATTCGACCAATTCCTTCGAAAATTTACTTCTTCAACTTATTTCGTCAATTACGGAGCTCGCAGATTATGAATACTGTACGGTATTGGGATTATTTTTTTTCAGATTGCTGCTACCTTCCTAATAATTTTAAAGTCGAGAATATCTGATTTTACAATTCAAATTATCATTTTTGTTCAAATTATCAGATTTGTACAAACTAATTTGTACAAATCTTAAGCAGTCAAATTATAAAGATAAAATTCTTGTACGGGAAAATGCAATCATTCAATTAAAAGTTTTCTGAAGTGTTAATTTTCTTTTGTATACAGTATTTAAGCAGTATAATGGATTTTTTTTTGGGGGGGAGAGGGATTACGAAATGATATATTTACTGGTAGAACTTAGGAATATTTGTACTAAGGGAAATTTACTTTACAGAGTCTGATTACATGGTTTCAACTTTTTTTGTCACTCATTTCTTATTTTTCTAGGCATTTATTTCTGTGGTTTTAAAGTTGAATAATTAATTTATTTATGAATTGCTTTAAGAATTATCTTTGCACTTCAGTAGCAAAATAACTGTCTTGATTTTGTCAATCATATGAAATGTAAACAAATTTATTAATGATATGTTATGGATAAACTGTTGAAATAGATATGTAACTTGCATGTAATATGTGTTCGAGTTTGTTTTCATAACTTTTACAAAACAACGTTGAATATCTAATTAGCATAAATATTAAGTTAAAAAGGTTGTCTAATGTAGGAATTTTAAGCCATTTGATATCCTATATTTTGACCAATACCATCTCCATTAAGAAAGCACCACCGCAATATTTTAAGATGTTGATTCAACGTTTCAGCTTTGCATACTTTGAAATAAACATAACTTGTAAATCATTTTATTAAAATATTAACCCACAGTTCAATGATTATTTATGATAGTTAATAGTCTTAAATTTCCTTTTTCAAAATACGAAAATAAAGTGCATATTTGGTACTTTTTATTTACGTCACACTAGAGCTGCCCAATGGGTTATTCCGGAGGATGATCCGGAAATAATATATGCATACGTCACACCTGGTTTCACAGGAAGGACACATTTACACACCATTCATCCACACATATAGTAAGTTTGACCTAAGCCAGAGCACGATCAAAAAATAAATCTTGTATACTTTTATCATCAGTTACCTTCATAAATTCTTATTAAAAAGTATACATTTATTTCCATAAACTAATAGTTGTTTGCCTATTATGTTAAAAATCATGGAAGTTTTTGGATTACAAAAACGAAGTACTATATAAAGAAAAATATATTATAAGTAATTTTTCATGAAGAATAAATACGATTAATATAACTAAATTTTATTTAAAATTTTTAAGAAGTGTTATCTCCAAGTCATTTTTTTATTGCAAAAATACTTTTTTTTAACAAAAATAATGCATTAACTCCTTAACTTAACAAGCATTAATTAGCCCGAATTGCCAAGTATTATATAGCAGGCAACTAAATCACAACAATCACATCTCAGGATTTTAAGCTAAATCTAAGCGATAAAAAATAATATCTTAATAATTTGTGACCGCAAAAATCAAGTTTAAAAAGCATTAACAAAGTTTGCAGTGTATGGTTTTTAAAAATTATTGCAATACTTACTAATATAGTTAGTTAATATTATCTTAAATTATGTATTTTAAGAAATGAAATCAGAAAACCATTCCTTAAACACTGAAAGCATTTTATATTATATTTAATGTGTGTACAAAACAAATAGTACATTTTAATGAAGTCAACTTTGAAATCTGCATGAAAATATTTTCATACTTCATTGATTCATCTATCCATTCTCAATTGCATGCCTCTGTTTAAAAGAACAGGAGAACCAGAGTGTTTTGAGCATTCAGAATACTTTAAATATATTTAATTTAGTTTTTGTAATAAGCAAATGTTATATATCTGCTAAGTCAAATTTATAAAATCTCTATGAACATTTTTGCGTATTCCTTCATCAATCTTATCAGATGAATTTAATGCTGCTTTTATTTCCTATTTCTCGAATTTCGAAGAGTAAATGGGAAAAGTAACGAGATTTTAGGAATTAATTTCTGCAAATTAAGGCAAAATTCACCGGGAACCTGTAATTAACTCTCTCACTTAAATGATTAATTGAGATAGAAGTGATGCAATTCCGAAGTAAAATAAAACTTTTTAACCCCCGTCATTTACGCTGATCGTTCGATTTGATTAGCTTTAACTTTGTTTCAATATTAAGAATGAAATAACCAAATATTTTTTTTTATTTTTAAAAAAGGAAATGGATTATTATTGGAAAAAATTGTCAAAATTAATTACATTAATTTCAGCGACATAAATCAAAAAGCTCAGAATATCATAAATCAGAACTATCACTTTCTTTAATTTTATCATTTATTTCCTCATTCTAAAATTTAAATTTAAACTAAGATTGTTTTCATTTAGGAATTCATTAAACCGAAAATTATTTTAAACAGTTATCTGGAAAAAAATAATTTTCCAATTCTAATCTCATTTCATTATTTTTTTAATTAAGTCAGTTTGTAACAAACAGATCTGTAAGTTGATTAAAAAGCTAATGGGAAGAAAATTTAAAGTAATATTTTAGTGATCGAATGAGCCTAAATTAAGTTTAAAAATTATGTTTAGCAAAGGGAAATAAAGATTGTGCTTTGCTTTTATTTTCTAACCACAGACTTTCAATAGCAGAAGTTCCTAAATCATTTACACTCTGTTGAACTATTCGCATTGTAGCGTTCGCAGTCTCAGTGTTTTAATTTCCCTGGAAAAAATAAATGTTAACTGATGTTATTCATTGGCTACTAACCACAAAACTTATTCAGAATCTTCTTCTGATTCTTAAACATGCACTTAATATGTTATGATTTGTTTGGCCGAATTTTATACCTATCTCTTACACGAATCAAACCTAGCTCATGCGCAAATGTTCTGGATGCTCTTGAATATGAGAATGTACAATACTGTGAACGCAATGATTTTTGTATTTAGCTCAATTCAACTATTTCTTGCTCAAGTAATGGAAAATTGTAAATTCTATTAGCTATTAAAAATTTAAATACAATCAGTTATGTATTAAAATAATGATGCAAAATGGTATTAAATATTTTTTTAAGTCGTACAGCTTTACGATGTACTTTAAAAAAATTATCTTTAGTATATAAAATACCATGGAATTACCTGGTACTATATAGCGTAAATAACATTCTTTAATTCATATTCCTAGCAAAAGCGAAACCGATACTTTTTGAGTTCTAAAAATCGTTAGGTAGCTTAAAAATTGCAGCTGTCTAAGCATTGATTTTGAGGCATTACTCTTTTATTCTAATTGTTTGACAAATTTGAA